TATATATATATATATATATATATATATATATATATATATATATACTCAGTGGAGTGTGAGAGAAGAACACTTGCAACAAGCAACCATCCAACCAACCAACCAACCAACAACTATCACTAGAACAAAAACGAAAAGAACGCTTTTTAATGAAAAACTGTTTGTTATTTAGGTCTGCTAGGAAAATCGGCCAATCCAGGTGAGATAAATTCCATTTCTGAATTTGATTAAAAGTATTTGTGCAACAATATAAATATGTAGTTATATTGTACAAATTTAAAATGTTACACACAGCCGTTTTTCGTTCTTTGCTTTTACTCTTGCAATACTTACACACACACACACACACGCACACACAGAGAGAGAAAGAGAGAGAGATAGAGAGAGAGAGAGAGAGAGAGAGAGAAAGAGACATACACCCAGAGATAGGCACAGACACTTTCACACATACACACAAAGAAATATTTGCAGACATACAGCCAATGGCATACACAAACACACTTACATATATATACATAAACACAGTGAATTGTAGATTTTGTAGCGGCAAAAGCCCACACGGAATGCGAAAATGTCGTATCTGTTGTATTTTCGAGTTGTGTTTCGCATCGACAAACTCTGACAAATGCATTCATCAACACTACTCACCAACACTGGTAATAATATTCTCTCTTTCTCTCTCTCTATCCTGCTCTTTCTCTCTCCTTCACTGGCAAACACGATCCCAAATGGAAATGCATGTACAGCTTTTTGCTTTTGTCGCCTATCGTTGCCTATGTGTCTCTCTCTACCTCGCTGTGTGTATATATGCTTCTTTACCTTTTGTTGCTGTTGTTGTTGGTTTTGTAATACAATTTTTTTTCTTCGTTTTTCGCTTTTTTTCCATTTTACTTTTTCAATGCCTGTACTGCTGCTGCTGCTGTTGTTGTTGTTGTTGTTGTTGTTGTTCAATTTGGTTATTTTGTTTGAATTGTGCAACGTTGTGCGAGAGAACAATCGCTACGAAGAGAACGTCACCGCGTTCTGCACACAAAAGACAACAATAAATCTGTTTATATTTAGTGGTATCGTCTAAAAATGGTCTGCCAATTCCCATTTTGGGCTACCTTCGAAAATGCAAACGGTAAAATGCCGGTGTGAATGGGCAATTTTCGGATTGCACGAGACGCACTTGCAAATCGCTCTCTATTTTGCTCATGCGATGCACATCGTGCATGTTGAGACAGAGCGATGGCAATAAAGGTAGAACGAGAAACAAAGCAGAGTAGAGAGAGAGAGAGAGAGAAAATGTAGGAAAGAAGGGAAAAAAGGTATGCAAATCTGCATGCAGCTACATCAATAATATGTTTCAATGTTCAATCGGAAGAGGTTGAAAGGCATTACAGCCTCAACACTCTAATGAAATTGAATGCTTTGCTTGTCAGACCAACCGCTTACCCGCCCGATCGTCTGCCTGTTTGCCTTGCCTTGCTACGCTATGCCATGTCATGCTTGCTTTTGTATTGCGCCATTGGTTTTTGGCGCTTAGTGTGCCTCGCTTTAATTTAAACAATCTTATGTTTTATTAGTGCATTAGAGACACACAGAGCACATAGAGAGAGAGAGAGAGAGGAAGCTTAATGTGGCCTAGTAATATAATCCAAATGCATTTGACAAACGGTAGACGTTTCACAAGTGTCAACTAAGTTTGATCCGTTGGTTTTGCCATTCGCTTGCAACGGTACATTTATTTCGCATAGAATGGCAATTACAATTCAAGCATTTTAACCCGCTGACTCGGAGCTCAAGCTTTCTGTGTAATGTTCGCTGTCACTCTCTCGCTCATTCTATGTGTAATATGCACACATGATGTATGTGTGTGCATCCAAAGCACTCAAGCCAAATAGAGAGAACGAACAAGGGAAGGAACACATACAAACAGAGAGAGAGAGAGAGAGAGAGAGAGAGAGAGAGAGAAGGAATAAGAGAGGGAAAAAATTGCTGACATCGGCAGCACAAAGAATACCGTCGTCATCGCAAACGTCGACGAACGTTAAGCAATATGGATTTCATTTAATTATTTATGGATATGCATTTCTATGTCATTTCACGTGTGCATTTTCAGATATATATATTTGAAATTTTAACCGAGACACATCAAGATCGGATAGGGTTGTGTTTTTTTCTCTTCGTCTTCTATTGTTGAACATTCGCTAGCTCTCGCTTTCACTCCACACAATTCGCATCGTAATCATTTGACAAAGTAGACACGGCAATGTCATTTATTCCGGAGCGAAATCGAGTCGACGTTGAAGTGTCGCATTTACTTTATATATATAGTATTTACGATAAGCAGCTGACATCAAAACCCCGGGTTAAAAATAATGCACGCACGTATTTTGCTACTCACTTGCTCACACTATCTATCTCTTTCATTTTGCTCGCTCATTCGCTCGCTCGCTACTATCATCAACACACAATAGCAATGGGTGTAATAGCGACCATCAAGAATTGATATTGCTGAAGTTATGTGTGCACCTTCTTCTTAATTATGTTTTGAGCGAGTAAGAAGAGCGATACACAAGTGGTTGGCGAACACTAAAATTTTGTAACTTGCACTTGTCGCACGCGGGCACATCTAACCTATCTGTAGAGGTGTGTGTCTGTGCGGCATGGAACAGCATAACGAGCTAAAACTTGCTGAAACTAATGAAAGAAACACACAGTGCACAAACACACTCACACACATCGAATTGAGAACAAAATGGAAAAACAAGAGACTCGATTTACAGCTATAAAGAAAGAAGCGAGTTAATGCGGGCGCGCAAATGAAAAACAACGAACAACGAAACGAACACATAAGCGAACGAACGAACGAACGAAAAAAATCAGCACACAAATCTTTGATGTGATTTCAATTTATTTGCTGTAACCTATAATATATGTATCCCGATTGATATATGAATGTCTCTGCTAGTGGATGCACTATTTCACTATTTCTGCTTATTTGCATATGCGATAGTTTTCGCTATTTCTCTCGTGTGTGTGTGCGTGTTTTTTTTCTTCTATTCATTCATTCTTCTATGCGCACGTTGTTGCCCTCTTTCGTACGCTCGCTTGCTTGCTGCGCTCTTGACTCGAGCGCGTTGTGCATATATTTAAGCCGAGGAGTTAAACAATGTAAAAAGATATGAAATCGTTCGAATATCCTAGAAATGAGAGACCATGAGCAGTGAGAGCAAAAAAAATCACACCGTGAATGAATTGCAAGACAAAGAATAAAAGAAAGGAGTTGCAGCAGCAAATGTAAGAGAGAGGGAGAGAGAGAGAGAATGAAGCAAGTCAGAGCAAGAGTACAGAGTGGGCGATAGGAAGGGATACGAAGTACAGAGAGTGAGAGAGGAAGAGAGTATTATAGCCAGCTGTAAACGGAATATGGATATCCTTGTATATCGAATACGCCATTCCCATAACCTATTGGGTTTTGGTGCACGGGACTTAGGTGCATAATGCACACACGTACTTAAAATGTGTGTACGATCGCACATTCATATTTCATGTGATTCATTTTGTTTTCAAATTCAATCCATTATTTTTCTGGTTGGTGTAGTTTTTTCCATGACATTTCTCACATGTTCGTTATTCAGGGCTTGCTTTTTTTTTACTTTTTGTCTCTCGCTCTAACTCGCTCACTTTTTCTCTGTCGCTTTCGGCGCATTATACATACAACGTCTCATTTCTTCGTCGTTGTGTCGCGTGTACATTTTTCTGCACACTTCTCTCGGGGTCTCTCGCCAATTCGGCACGGTCTTCCTTTTCCTATTCCAATCGCTTCGACTCTTTTTCTCTCTCTTTTTTGATTGTTTCGTCGTCGTCGTCTCCATTGTCGTCATTGTTGTTGTTGTTGCTGTTGTTGCTGTTGTCGTTGTTGCACCGCATATAATATATTCTTTATTGTGTTGACATTCTTCGAGCTCCATTGAATCGGTATTACTGGATTGGATGTGCATGCATACGACTGGATGAAATATTGTGAGCATGGTGTTTTGCATATAGCTTTCACACATATGATGATTTGGAATGGATGAAACGATGAGATAGAGGCGAAGCGAGCGAAAGAGTAAAACAAAACCCATGCACATTTTGTATGCATTAACACTCTTTCTCACGTTTGGATCGACGATGGGGAAAGACAGAGCGAGCGAAAGAGTTAGAGAAAGAGAGAGAGAGAGAGAGATATATAGAAAGAGAGCTCGTGTGTGTAATTCGGATTCTTATGCGGTGCTGCAGCTTATATTCGGTTTTTCCATAGTTTAAACACTCATGTGTGTACCAAATGTAAACATTTGTTTTTCCATGGCTTTTCTCTCTCACACTGTGTCACCCTCTTCATTGCTCGTTCGGTCGGTTTTACCCATACTCCAGCAAGAGCTCTTCGCCTCCACACACACAGAGAGCCCAGGCTCTCCTAAATAAAAATAAAAAGAAAATGATCAACGAAAACAGCAATGAAAACCAAACGAAACCAAACCAGAATCAGAGAGACACACACTAGCACATCTAACGAATGGTAGCGAGAGTAAAACCGAAAGCGGCAAAACAACCAAAGATTCCAAAAAACACGGAACATTTTTTAAAATAGCATTCGAAATGTACCGTTTAGTTGAGCAAATAAATGAAGTTTAAAGTGGATACTTAGAACATGCACTTAGTTCGGATGGCGTATTTGGTTACAGTTCGTTCAGCTGCAGCCATTGGAATTTCAGTCGCTTATATTTTTTTCTCTCTTTTTCTCCTGCTCTGCCCCCCTCTCTCTCTTCTTGTGTTTATTTCGTCCAGCGCTGTTGATGTTGCTGTTGCCGAATCAAACATAATTATTCTATAACCATTCCTACATGCACAATGTTAAGCAAAGCCGAATGGGGTACCACAAAAACAAATCTAACGTACGAAAATTGCCTCGCATATCGCCCGATTCGGGGTAAATCCTCGGCATGAAACAAACAAACAAAAAATACACAAAACATACATTCACATACACACATCTCGCGCGCTCATTCCTCATCGCCAAAGCCAATAGAGAGAGAAATGAACGAGCGGGAAAGCAATTGAGCCCCAAAATAAAGAGCCAACGGAGGAAAAAAGCGACGGCAATGGCAGCAGCAACAGCGGCACACACTCAGAACGCCAACACCGTACAAAAACCTTCGACGACTATAA